GGGCGAGAAGGACGCCCGGGCCGGGTCTGCTGACCGTGACGCGCTGCCGGATGCGCGCGGCAAGTTCAAACCCTAACCTTATCCATCGGACCAAAACACATGCAGCAGGAGAGAGAGTTTGTTGGTCTTCCAAAATAGACTTGCAACGGTGCGGGTGCAATCTCGATGTGGAGCTCCGGTTCTATAATACACCGCTTTGTCACAACTTTTGACACGCGGCTGTCTATGATGATAGTTATTGTGGGCACCTGTGCCTGTGAAACAGACCCCACCCGCGAGCAGGCCCGGCGCCCCCTGGGGCAGGGCGGGTCCCACATAACCTGTGAGCGCTCTCGCCGCATCAGACGGAACGTGTCAGGCACCCAAACGGCCGCTGCACGTGGCTAATGAAGGCGTGTGTTGCATTTGCTTGCGAGGCGAGCGCTAACGTGGCATTATTCTCTTAGCGCGAGTGCATCTCGCCCCGCCCCGCCACGCCCCGCCACGCCCCGCCACGCCCCGCCACGCCCCGCAACTTACGCCGCCGGGCACAGGCTCACTCGCGCGCGAGCGAAGACGCGGCGGACCGTGAGAGGCGCGGCCGGTAGGGGGTTTGTTTACATTATGGAACAATGACTCTCCGCGGGCGCGCCTGCGACCTAAAGGTACTGCCATTAGTTGTTGGAGGAGTATAGTCATAATAACAATACTTCCGTTCAACGGCCGTTTACGACGCGCGTCCACGGGTGGGCGCGTTCAACCGGCGCCCAGAAAACGGTTCATCTGATTCTACGAAATTTGAGAGAATTAAGAAAATATTACTCTAGTTCAAAGAAATTTTATTTCCGTCGAGGAAAAGCTTACTTTTTTTAGAGAGCTTTCCTCGAACTACAAGTGAGAGTTTGCTTGTCTCCAAGTTCCGTCGAAATTTCTTTGAATCAAAGAAACTGTTTTAGGTTTCTGATGTGTTTCGCGAGGTCGTCAATAATATTTCACTTTCATGTCCGAGAAAGCCGCGTTGAGATAATGTCTCGCGTACGCTGCAACGCTGCACGAACACGGACGAGCATGTGTCCTAGTCCAAGGCAGCTGGGGATATTCCAAATACAACTGGGTGGGGGTGGGGGTGCGGCGCTTCACGCCACGTCGCACTTCCTCTAGTAAAACTTTTCGGGGTTCTTGCCGCAATGATCATCAGCCCGCCTCGTAAAACCTGCGGACAGCCAGCGAGTGTGAGGCATGGGGCTCGTCCGCGTAGCCCGCGGGGAGAGAGGGGAGGGGGAGGAGGAGCGGCAATTAACATAAAAGACCGTCTCTCTTGCAATCGCTGCACAAGATGGAATTTCTAATTGCAGCGACGGCCGAGTGGCCCGAGGAGGCGATGGACTGCACGCCGGCGCATCGGAGCGTTGGCGCCCGCCGGCCGGAGTGCAGAGCCTGGCAGAGCGGTATGAGAGCACCATCAACATCAACGCCTTTGCTCACCTCCCGGAAAGCCTTCTGCTTTGCCCCGCTACCGTGCTGCGGTAAGCCCGCCGCCACGGCGTGGCGTGGCTGAGGCAAGAAGGGCCACTTGTGTTCGGCTCGGAGGGGCCCTTTTGTGAAAGCGGCCCACGCCCGCACGGGAGAGCACGCGCCATTATCCTCCGTTTTCTTTTTGAAACTTTACAGATGAGAGAGGAGAAACCTGAACATCGCTCTCCTTGTTGCATTACCCGCGCTTACCTCTTTACGTGCCTATATACTTCTATAGTTGCCAAAATCGACGCCGCGCACTTTCGTAGTTATACTGTACCGCCTGCGCTCGCGCGGTTGGGTTGCCTATTCGCACTAGGCGATAAGGAGCCGTTGGCAGCATGGATAGGCAAACCCACCCGCTCCCATGCATGCGGTACGGTGTAACTAGTCGACAACTAGGGAAGGCGAGAGTCAGCCACCTGGTATATTGTTACGCGGACGACGCCATGCGTTTACTGCGAGGAATATGACGGCGCTACGCACAGCATGTGGTCCATTCGGCGCGGCATGTGGGAAACCGCGGATGGCCAACAATGCTCATGCAATACTCATCCTCCGCGACACCCGAAGCCCATTGCTACCCGCGTTCACAATTGTCATTGTTCTCCCCCAGGTGAGAGCGCGGCTCTCACGCGCGGCTGCACACGTTGGTGCGCACCTCAGCTCACGCGCGCGGCCCGGCCACTGCCCACCTCACACGCGCCAATTACAAATAGCCGGATGAGAAATACAATGGCGTAAATCGGGAAATCGAGAGAAAAAAACTTCCTTCCTCAGCAAACGAATGTAGTGAAAGGGTGATGCCGTATCCAGTTTGACGAATTTTTTTTATCCGCCCTGTGGCGTCGCCTCGGGCGTCGCTTATTATCATACCATGCGTACTTTCTGTTGGTACATATTCAGACAATCGAACATGACAATAATTAATTTAGAGTTTTTCTTTTTGAACCCCTGCCGAGTTGCGAACACTAAGCGCGGCGGCCTGTCATGGTACTAATTGTTTTCATCAGATGAGTTGTACAGTGTTCTTTTACCACGGGCGGGAGACAAAAAGTAAATGATTTTGATTACGGAAAGAAACGCGGCAGACAGTTTGACGCAGACCCGAGCGCGTCATCGTATACAGGGTGGTCCACAGACCCCTTCCTTTAGTTTGCTTATACTGTACCGGATACAGGCGTGCGGACGGGTTGCATACTCGCACGGGGCCATAAGGCGCCCATGGTGAGCGACAGTAGGCAAGCCCGCCCGCACGCATGCATGCGGTACAGTATAAGCAAAATAAAGGAAGGGGTCTGTGGACCACCCTGTACAACTACCCCGCGCTTCCACAGAGAAGACGCTTCCAGAAAGGACGACGCGGACGGTCGAGGGTCCGCAACAGGACGAAACAACGGCCCAGCAGCGTGTCCCCGCGTCGCGCGCGCGTTTCCGCGTGCTCAGTAAGTTGATCAATGATGAGACTGGATCTCGCCTCACCCCGCCCCCTCATAACGCAACCAACCCCTCCTCTCCCCCCTCGCGTACGGCTGCCCTGCCCTGACGTAACGCCCGTAACGGGCCCGGCCGGCCCGGCCGTGTGGACCGAGAGAGTGGACAACACTCCGCGCCGCCCGCCCGCCACGCCCGGCCCGGCCGGCCCGGCCTCTGACCAGCGCGCGGCGTGGATTCTACGGCGAGCGCGCGGGGAACCGGTTTGGGTCCCTATCTGTGCGGATCCCTCCTGCAGCCCACCGCACCGCGCAGGCCTGCTGCTGCTGCAGCTGCGGCAAGCTGCGCTGCGGCTAGCTGCGGCAGCTGCCGTGCCGGACGAGTCCACTGTGAGGGGCTGCAGCTGCAGAGACCCCGCCGCAGAGCTCCCAACGTGTTTAACCTTTCGCCACTCCTATCCTCCGCTTCGCTGTTTCGGCGATGCCGATCCACCGCAGTGATCGCGTGCTGCGTGCCGCACCGCGCGGTTGCTTTAAAAGCAGTAATAATATTTTATTTAGAAATAGTATGATAAACTATACGAAAAGTATGGAAATTTTCCCAACCTCTGGCCGCGCGGTTTATACCGAGAGAGACGATCCCACGGTCCGAAGATAGTCAGGTGGGCTTGCTTACAAGTCATTTCCGAAAGTGCGAGAGAAACTGGAACCGCACGACGTCGTCCAAGGGTCAGCCAGCCCCGCTGCGTGAGGACCCGTGGACACAATGTCACACACACAGAGGCACTTCTCCTGCTATGCGTGCACGGCCACGCCCCACGCCCCTCTTGGTTTGCACCACGCAGGGCCGGGCTGCCGGGCTGCCGGGCTCGTTTGGGTGCGTGCCGTGCATCGCCCTAGCCCGGACGATCGCCTTGTTGTTGCACGGCCACCGGAGAGGCGGAGAACAAAAAATAAAAACGGGAAAGAAAATTCATTATGTGAAAGAAAAGAAGGATCATTGCATTGCATTAAACCGCGCACATGTCCTCCACCTCTTCCCGTACGTCGTGTACCGCCCGGGAATCTGCATTCTGGCTGGACCCAGGGCAGGAGGAGGAGCACACAGCCAAGACCATGGCCAGACTGACCGCAGCATCAGCGGCTTTGGGCTACAAGGACGAGGACCCGAACAAGACGCGCCACGCCGCGCCGCGCCGCGAGGTAGGTCGGGGAGCTCGGCCGAGGGCGCGCACCGCTCCGAGAGGAAGGCTGCTGCTGCTGCTGAAGGTCATCAGATTTTCGAGATCCAGCCGCACACGCGCTTTCCAATTAAGGCGGATTACAGTCTCACGTAATTGGGCTCGGCTGCCTGCTTTGCTCCCCGAGCTCACAGCTCAGGCAGGAGGTGCAACTGCAGCACAAAGGCACTGGTGAAAAGTGGAAAGAGCGTAAGTCCAATGAGAATAACGTGGACTTACGCCGTCCTCACTTTTCACCAGTGGAGTATACATATTGTGGTTCGGAGAAGGAGCCGTCCAGGTTCTTGGTGGGAGGGGGTACAAATATTGTGGCCTACCCATTCAGTTCACGATGACAATTTGAGTTCATAATGCACCTACGGTATTTGCACACAGGGGTAAAAATATCATGAGATCTTTGTGGACAATTAGGGTGATACTGAACCTTAAGGGAGCCCATAATATTTATACCTGTAACCCGTAGGGCACCTATAGTATCTGAACGGGTCCCGAACGGAGATTTTCAGGCAACGAGCTTATTAGTTCAATTTTTCACCAAACCTAATATTCGCCTAACGCCAGGGGCGAAGTAAGGGGCAGATGACCGGAGGGGGGGGGG